TCCAAATTTTATTAATTTAATTAAATTATTTTAAGAATTTTAATAATGTCAGGGGTCGTTAGTGTTTGATTCTAGAAAAGTCTTGCTTTTGGAAGCTCAGCTGCTACATGCTGCTACAATCTACTACATATAAAGGGAAAGGTACATGTAAAAAATATATCACCACACTCCGGGCGGCAAGGAGTAGTAGTCCTTTACACGTTATATATATATATATAATAATAATAATAATAATAATAATTTATATATATATACATATACATATAACGATTCATAATATCCAATTGTCGTAAATTTTTCGTAAATAAAAATGTTATTTTCGCGAATTCGATAAACAAATTTCGCGAGGGTCCCAACATAACATAAACAATCTTCGCAATTAAAATTCTTTACAAGGACCTTTAGATCGATATAATATAATTAATTCAAAAATATTTAAGATATGTTTATAAATCAATGTGTATATTGTTCTATATAACATAAAGATAGTATGGTCTATATTTTTATATTAATATATTTGATGTAATAATATATTACTTATATTATTTATTGATAGTTATTGAATTTTATCAAGTTTTTGTTATTATAGTGGAATCAAGAGTTGAAGAGGTTGGTTATTTTAAAAAAAATGATCAAATTCAGAATTTTGCAAATGAAAATTGAACATATTTGATATGGAGAATATTGTAACGATTACTCCAATGTGGATACCTTTGTCAAAAGGCTAAGAGCTATCCATTGATCTCTTGAGGCAAGTTGAACACAGTTGAACGACTTCCTGAACTGGTGAGACAACTGCTGTCCGACAGCCGTAGATTTCTCTAAGAGAAGTCTGTCTCGGAAAAAAAGTCCAGTCCAGGGTGGAAAAAAATACTTCGCCCCCAAACAGCGCAGAGGGTGCTCTCCCTTCTGGCTGGTGTTGTCAGCGGTGCGACCAAGTTGATGTGGTGAAAGGATGACAAGGATCATGGGCACCAAATTAGCCATTAAGAATACCCTGGTTGATTGGTTATGATAGGAAGTTATGCAGCATGCAGTTATACTACCTGGGTAATGGAGATTACTATATTAGGGAAAGCTATCAACCAACGATTCTCACAGGATCGTGACTCTCAAAGTGTCCAATGACAAGTTGTTGTAACCCAGAATGATGCCGAATTATGTAGCACATTGTAGCACCCTGTTCAAGTCACCCTTTCGTCCTTTCCAACGCTCCCGAGCGCCAGCACCCACACTTTGGGAATTGATGTCCGGGTTTCCCGATACATCAACAAGAGCATCACGCAGACCGGTGACAGCAGGACATGTGTCAAAAAAATGCCAAGAACTTGGAATATGATGCTGCGCCCATTCACCTATTCCTGCAAGACATGGAGGGTGCCATTTGTGAGTCCCTTCAGCCTTGAACATCTTGCACTGGTAAACACATCTTTCGGGCACCACAGCCCTGCGGCAGCCTGTGGCATGTGGATGGAGAAGAATGAAAGAATAGCGGCACCCAGCAGTACAACAAATCTACATCCATCCCCCGAATGGCCAAATTGCACCTTGATATCCTCACAACTTCTTGCAGAAACTTCTGTCACTGCTGGATCACGTGATGGCTAAACATGTGGGGAATATACCTTAGCCACTGTGACGACACGTTCTCCGACAAATTAAAGGAAAATTAGGTATTCATCTCTTCATGGAAGCCCTAAAATGCCAATACTGACTGCACCGTTGTGAAACGGATCACATCATATTTCATCATATGAAATCTGTTTGGTGTCAGCCCAATTTGTGGCTCATTTCTTCGCAAAAAAGGGCGCAAGACAACGCCGCTTACGAGCGGAAGCTCAGTTTGATGGGTGTTTTTTACACACGCTGAAGCGATCAGCAAGTTCCGTGGCTCTCTGGTTCTTGTCGGGGAAGTGGGAGAAGTTGTTCTTGGAGATAGATGGAGATAGTAACTATATCAATACTATATCAGTAGAAACAGGAGCAAACTTGGAAACAACTTGAAGCAACACACTTGCACTGTCTTGATCTGTCTTGATCTTTCTTGATATGTCTTGTGTCCTGTTGCTCTTTGGCAATCTTCCCAAACACATTTAAAGCATATTAAACCACACACTAGACTAGTTCTCTCTTGTTGCGGTTTCAATCTCCAGCTGGGTTGGAACATCAACGACGGAGCCACGGTGTTGGGATTTTGTTAGACATGACATTCTACAACGATCCGCGGAACTTTCCAGCTGTCAAATCAAAAAACAACGGGTGCCAAAGGAGCTGGAGTTGGTGTCCCAAGAGGTTCCCATTGAGCTTGGTAACTCAAACTTTACAGCTGCAGTGCAGTTGAGGCAATTTCTTGTAGGAATCGCTGGGAAGTTCTCGAATCACATCGGCTCACGCATTGCGATACGCCTAGGTCGTAAGGATTGGAAACAGAACAATTTTTGGGATGGAAAAGCAAGACATGATTGAAAGGTGAACCACCAAGCATCATCCCAAAGATGTCCAGGTCTTGCGATATAAACATCAGTGGGAGCCATCTACGAACATGGGGTGATTTACGCTAGCAATGTGTTCTTATGACAGCTGGGGCCAGTTCCCAGTTCCCAAAATTCTCCGATCTCCGATCGGTGATCCAAAAGCCTCCAGTTGACACCTACTTCCTAACATCAGTTCTTAGTTCATTTCCAAAGACTATAACTCTTATAAAATCCCATGATTAAAAACCAATATGGGTGTGTCTGAAATTGTGGGACATCCCCAAATACTCATATTTCAATTCATTGAAATTACAGTAGAATGACCTTTTAAACCATTGAAATTGTAATTTGTGTGGCCTTTTCCTCGATCTTTTTTCCGACAAAGCCTGTTATAGCCACCTCTTACAGAGACCTTACGACGCCAAGCAGCTTCCTTGGCGATGGCCTGTGCCTCCTCTTCCCTCATTCCTTGCTCAATGGCTCTCCTGGTGCATGTGGAAGAAGTCTCTACAAATATTCGCGAATTACATCTATAATGAATATACATGCAATAGTATATATATACTATATATAAATAATAGTTAGTGTTGATCTTTAAAAAAAAACATATCGTTGTTATTGTCAACTGTAATTCTTGATAATAACAGTTATATGTAATATAATGGTTTGTATATATATATATATTGATAATATACATATATATATATATATATATTATACATAATTATATATATATATATACAGTATACTTATGGCAGTATCTAGTACATTGATCATACGAGTATGTGATTCAGATAGCATATTGATCTCGTGGAAATAAGGAATCCATATAGAATGTGTATATAATTAGAATCATAGTCAATAATCCCTTCCCCCTTAAATTGATCCCCTTTAGAAAACAATAAAAAAATGAAGGGTTTCACACCCTAATAATGAAACTAGTCAACCCCGGGGTGTTTTTTATTAGGGTCCGTCTTTTAAGGTCGAAAAGAGTATGTTATATTGTGGTTTTACATCTGATATTAGGGGAAAGCTTCGAAATCCAATTTTTGGCAATAGTTTAATTAGATTTTAAAAGGAATTCTAATCGATTTTGAAATAGAAAAACTAGTTTCTTTATATTAGGGTTTTAAATTTAGTATTAGGGGGAAGCTTCGCAGCCTAATAATAAATACCCCCTAATGATAAAAACTACCTGAGGTGTTTATTATTTGGAGGGGGGTTAGTATTAGGGGGAAGGGATTATTGACTATGATTCTAATTATATACATGTATATATATATATGATTTTATATGTGATTTTATATGTGAATTTATATGTGATTTTATAATTATGTGATTTTACATGTGATTTTACATGTGATTTTGTATGTGATTTTATATGTGATTACATGTGCATATTAGCATTGAATTGGGTTACAAATCCATCATTCAACCACAGAATTAATAACTTGAAGAAAAGAGTCGGGTCTTCTAGAGTTCTCAAACAATCAAACACCTCGCTTGACACCACCTGATGTCCAGAAATGTGCCAAGGTTCTGATAAGCTTCGCGGTAGATCCCGCCCTTTCGCGCTAAGTCAGTCCTCAAGGATGCAGACCCAAGTCAGAGTTTCTGCATTTGCAGAAAATGAATGGATAATAATAGATACTTTATCTACGTCTCTGACTTGGTAGGGGTTCTTCGATTTTACCAACCCTAGATCCAACCAAAGCCGGTTTCTGCAAGCGGCGCCATGCAGGTCGGAGACAATCCCTTTCACTCCCACTCCTTCCTTACAAAGTAACGCACCTGCCAAACAATATTCCTTAAAATTCCTAAAAAATCCTTAAAATTCCTTCATTTCTAACCCCAAAGCAAATCCAGTGCACAAGCGAGTGCTCACCCTCTGGGGTGCATGTCTTGCTCTGACGTGGCCCTGACAAAGGCTACGATCGAGGCACTTCCTGGCTCTGCCATCTGACGATCCGGAACCCGAATGTGAGTCCTGGCATGGCGACTGTAGATAACTCACACTTGATGAGAAGGGACAAAGCTGTGGACTGTCGCATTCCACATGCCATATTCCCTTAATATACAGGAAAATGACTTGAACGATTCCCGGATCTTTCCGAATGCTACGAAGCGAGTTTTGGACATCAAAGAATAGCTCATTGTCTTACTTTGCTTTGGTGCCAGTATGGGGGTTTCCCAAAATGGAGACCCCAAGTTATAAGCGGCGTTATTGGGCACTTTTTAACATGCAGGAAAACTTACTTCAGGAAACCCCAATGCCCTACTATCATCCACTATCCAATAGTAGGGATAGTATATCTATAGTAGGGATTAATGCCCTACTACCATCTAATTGGTTCATCCACTATCTAATAATATAAATGGGATATGCGATATATTGCGATATATGCCCACGTCGATCCCCATCATTCTTGTTTAACCAACCATTGATCTTATCCGTCGAAGGGACCTCTATCACCCCCGGCATGGCCAAAGGCAACTCGACATCTGCGGAGCCACTTCGATGAAAAGCCTGGGAGGACAGTACCACTTCGTGTCTTCGTGTCTTTCAGGATTTTTTGTGGTAAACCCAATAGATCCCAATCAAAACTATCCCCATTTAAGAGGTTTATTATGGAGTATACCATAGTATACCGTTATACCATGTTATACCCCTATTTAAGGGATGATGTGATGATTATCTGAAAATATCAGTCATCCGTTGAAGATCCTTTAATTTTATGATTCAGCGTTCCTGGGATTTCCTGAATAGTTGTACAAATCATCTTCAGGATCCCTTTCACAATTCTCACAGGAAAAATTAAAAAAACGTGAGCAAGACAGGCCGATAAAATCTAGAGTTATGGGGCACACGTCCCTTGCAGAGTTACTTTGGCATACTTTGACTTGATTCGCCATGGATCAAACACAAGTAGCATTACGGCAGTAAGATGCAGTAAGCATCACTGGAACCAACCAGAAAACCATCGCATCATCGCAGCAAGGAACAGCCATGGCCTTTCCCTTGGCCTCTTCTTGGTCACTCCCCTCTTGAACAGCCTTTTTGTAGGCTTCATGGTAGGCGGAGCTCTGATCAGCCTTCTTCTTCCTGTGTTTGAGGAGATGATTACCCCATATTTCTGAAGTATATACCCATTAAATAATGCATTTAAAGCCTCTATCGCAATTCACGTGACTATCAACCTCAAGAAGAACCTTCCCCAAAACTATATAAACTATATGAATTCTATATGATATCAGATGATATCAGCATGTCAGACCTCACTGGCTCTTTTGACACCACATTTTGCCGTCCTCTTCCTCTCCACCGTGGCCATTTCCCCAGGCGACGGCATGATCACATCGAACTGCCCAAGGGGCGCAGAGGAGCGCCGCGGCGGCGAAGCGATCTCTTCAGCGCTGCCGAGACCGGAACTGGAGCTCTGGTGACCCGAAGAGCTCGGGCGACTGCCGCCATTGGCCTGTTGGAAGGCCTTAGATGGAAAGCGGCTACACGGAATTCCCATCTTTGTGATGGGAATTGTCAGTGCAACTGTCAGTGCAACTGTGGCATATTAGCCTGGCTTGGCTTGTGTCTCCACTCTTCCTGGGAATTCAGCTCCAGTATTTCCAAAACATCAGCTGAACTAATTGTTCATTCATGTTAATTACATTTAATTATGATATATTATGTAATTGTTGATTCAACTTCCAGTCCTACATATCCAGTTGCATTCTCTAGGCCCAGCTGCCACTTTCGCCGTTGCCTTGGCTTCATCCTTGCTCTTCCCAGCCTGGGAAAAAGTGGAACCGATGGGAACGGGGTCATTACCCACAGGCATTCTGGTGAACGGACCAAATGTAAACCTTAAGAAAATGGAATAACAATTAGAGTGTATATATATATATATATACACATGTATAATCATATACTTATATAACTATATAATTATACACTTATATAATTATATAATTAATTATAGAGAAACAAGGGGGAAAACAACCAACAACAGTTTAAACTCCCTTGTCCCATAGATCTGACAAGCGCCTACTTTTTGCTCGGCACTTGAGCCATGTAATTACGGATTATGGCATTAAACCCGACTGGATTGGGGATAATGCTACCGTTACTATGTACATGGCTATATACATTGAATGTTGGAATTGCGATGACTGTACAACATCATTAGTAAGTTGGAATCATAGCTACAGTGTGGAGTGAACTAATACTAGTATATACAGTGGTGGTATAGGGGTCGTAATATTTCTACTCCCCCCTACCCGATCTAACGCTGGCAACTAGTATGCAGGTTAGGGCGCTAGGTAGCTGCCCCTCCCCTGGGTTTGAGTTCACTACCTAAATCTACGCGGATGCCTAACAAGCGCAGTGCCGGGGCCCACTTTTGGGGTGGCAACGCCTTCGTAAAAATGTCGGCAGCTTGATGGTCGGTTTGGCAATATTCAAGCTCTGCAGAGTCGTCTCGAAAGACTTCTGAAAGGCCGGACAGATTTACTTTATGGGTGCGAGTGATATGCCTAAGCTTAGGGGAATAACCTTTACGTACTACCAGGATGGTAGCTTGGTTATCTTCTAAGACTCTAAGCGTCACTGTGCGCCCTAGGAGAAGCTCCCAGAGTTGCAGGGCCGGCATGCCTTCTTGGTATAGGGAATAAGCCAAAGAAACCACTTCAGATTCTGTTGTAGAACGGGATGTGGATGTTTGGCGTTTGCTAACCCACGCAAGAGGGAAGAAGGAGTTAGGCCCATGTAGAACTAAATACCCACCGGATGTGGATTTTCCACTAAGACGGTCACCGGCGAAATCGGCGTCAACGTATAAACGTAAGTCAAGATCTTCGGGATTATCTTTGATGGTACCCACTAGACGGTATTGGGGTGTAGAGTCTATGTATTGGATGAGTCTTAACAACCTCTTATCGTCCCCCCTGGACCAAGACTGCACTTTAGTGGCTAAATCGTTGATTGGTTTTATTATGTCAGGTCTGGACAGCCGACCAAGCCACAACGCCTTCATAAGAATGCGGCATGCATTGGGTGCCAGTTCACCTTTAGCCTCTTCATCTTCAACAGAGACAGAACCATCAGGTACAAAAGGAGTGGCAGCATGCTTCAAACTTTTGGTGTTGGTGATGGACTTATAAAGATCAACTGTTTGGTGTGCATAATCTAGCATGTCAAAGACTAAGGCTTCTTGTGCGCGAAACGCAGCACATTCCTCGGAACCCTCGGTTTTGGGCAATGGCATTACTAGATGATTGCGACCTAAAATTCGGTATATTGGTTCAGGTGGTTCTATATCCACAACAGATGTCAGCTTTGCCCAGAAGGCATCATGTTGGTCAGTGGGACCGGCAAGCGTGAGATCATCTACATAGGTGGAAAGCAACAACTTAGTATTTGGGAAAAAGAAGTTACCTGGGTATTCGGGTACCTCTTGGCCACCTAGGTTGCGGATAATTTTCTTTAAGTGCTGCTCCCAAAGGCCACCGGCATCAGGATGACCATATAAGGCTTTAACTAGGAGAACTACAGGTTTAACAAACTTATCTCGCCAATGTTTTGGTCTTAGCTCGGGCGGGAGTTCTATCCATGTCTTGTATTTTGAAGACAGGAGTGCTTGAACGTAAGCCTTTACAGCATCGGCTGCAGATGAGCTATTACCTGGCAGGGAGCCGTATGCCAAACAAGCATTCAAACCTTGGACCGAAGTCGGGTTTGCCCCTAGCTCCTGATAGACCGCTGCAGCGCCATGTTCGTCTTTTGCGCAGTCGCCCCTATAGACGATCCTGCCCTTCATCTTTTGCAGGTGCTGCGCAAGCTCGAAGAATTTTATGGACGCTATGGTCATGAGTTGCCCGAAATGAACGGACACTCCTGTGCGCTTGGCCTCGGCGCGTACATCTTCCTTTTCCCGAACGGAATCAAGTGACCACGTTCCTGCCTTGATCAGTCCGTCGGCCTCGGCCTTAACAGCATCAAGGGCTTGGGGGTTGGATAACATCTCGGCCCTAGAAAGCAACTTAGTTACCATAGCTTGAACCTCTTTGGAAGGCTCATTGTTATCTTCATGCCCGAAGGCTTGTGACAACAAACGCTCATGGTCTAGAAGCTCCGACACTAAGCAGTTTACAGTTGGATCTGTTTCAATGGCAATTGCAAGATCCTCAAAACCAGCTAGTGGGGACACATGTTTAAGATGTTGTTCAACTTCGCGGTGCTCTTGGGGTTCGGTTGAAAGTGGTGCGCATGGCATTGCGGGAGCATGTTGTTGAGAACACTTAGCAGGGTACAGCGCTTGGGTAATCAAAAATGCCATCTCTGGAGGATACATAGCTGATCGCGCCGTTTCCGAACCTTCACACTTTTCATGTGGCTGTTCACAACTGCACTTTTTATCTATAAAAACATCTACTACTCTTTGGGAAGTGGTTCGGACTCTCCAAGGCTTTTTGATGGGAACACCCTTTTTGGACTTAAGGCCTACTGCACAACCATCGAAATCAACTTCCATAAACTCAGGGTGAGAATTAAAGAAAGCTACGACATCTGGTCTCTTCCAGCCAGTTGAGGGACGTGGCCATTCAAAAGAAACAGTGCCTCCTAGTTTCAAAACTAATTCTGCCCTTTTGGTAAAGCTTTTGAAAAGTCGTTTCGATTCTCGGAGTTGGAGCGCTAATCTTTTCATATAAGCAGCTCCTCCCCTCCGTCTATTGATATACTGCCAAGGTGAACCAGACGTGCATGGTATGGACGACCAAAGATTAGGTGGTGCAACTTTTGAGGCTTCACCTATTTGATAATCAAGTTGGGCGCATTGATTTTCATCACTTAAGTCTATCCTTTCCTTGCTTAACCCAATGTGATTTATATTGCATTGATCGCTTGTCAACCCAAGCTGTGAGTTGAGGGAACATGCAAACTCAAACAGTGTTGATCTCTCACTGGGCCTCTGGCTTTTCTTCAAGGCACGTCGTTTACGACGGTTATTGTTACTCTTAGGAGGCTGATTAACTGCGGGGCATGCAGGCACGGGCTGTGCACCGAACACTGGCAAGGAATCCCTACATAACTCAGCGCAGCTGGGAGCGGTGTGTGGCAAAGTGGCAGCACCAGAGACACTATAAGGAACGGCTATTGTGATTTCACCTTCATCACCAAATATGTCTTCCTCCGGTGGTGGTCCCACGGGGGCATCCTCAAGTGCACTAGGAACTTCACTTGGAGGTTCTACAACTACCGACTCTGAAACAGGTTTGGACTTTGCTTCCAGCTCCTTTTCTTCATCTACAAGCTTCTGGAACCGTTTGCGGCACTCTGCATTGTGGTACCGAGTCTTATTCTTACACCCTGTACAACCGGGAGTCTCCTTAAACTTTATGATGCGGTCTAAGGTGATATAAACCGATCTAGGTTTGGGACCGGGTGTAGATGGGAAGCTAAACCGCCGTCTGGTGGAAACGGAACATTCTGTAGGGCTATCTCAGGAAGTTTAACATCATCGGGATCATCCCCCCTGATCAAGGCCTGATGCTTCGAAAAACCGACGGGAAAATAGGCATCACCATCTGGAAGGTATAGTTCAGGCTCGGGTACATCGGAAACACATGAAGCACCTCTAGTTCGAAACTCTTGATAATCTAATATCCGAACAACATATCTGTAACGAAAACCAGAATCGATTCGCCAACCAAGAAACAAACCAGGAGCCATGTTGGGTTCTAAGGTCCTTTTTGTTGGATGCTTCTTGCGATAATACACAAGTTGACCAAAACACAAACGCTTACCATCAAACTTTTCACGTGTAAGAGCTTCCCATTGGGTCTTTTCAGGGTCCACAATAGAAGGTCTATCAAAAGTCATGGAAAGACATGCGTATGGGTAACTATAAGTGTGATACTCATATGGCAAACCAGATTGTAAATGAACAACCCTACAGCACTCTTTCTCTTCCCGGATGTCGCGCTCTAGGAGAGCGTTGTGCGGCCAACGGTTGGGAAGGGACGTCTCAGGAACGAAGCCGACCTGATGGGCAGCCTGCTCCAGTTCCTGTGCTTCGTCCATTTTGATAAGTGTATGGGTAGCAAGTTCATTGGCTTTCAATCCCACGAAATGTCGAAAATTTTTGGCATGTGATTCAACATCTCTCTTTGAAAGGGGATATGCTATTCGTGCACCAGAGTAAAGGTCCCTAACCACATGATGTGTTTTAACCCCACCTATCCCCGTTCCAAAGTGCTCAGACCCTTTTGCAAGGATAACATCATCAGTGGCCAATTGCTCAAAAGGTTGTTTTGGTGGATCAATCTTATCATCGGACTTACCATCCTTAACATGAGAGACCCGCATTGCAGTATCCTTAGCAATATGGCATAATGGGCAATATGGATTTTTGGGGTAGTGAGTCAAAAGATGCTCTAAGCTAGTGGCTTCCTTTTTCAAGACTTCATCTTTGATAGGGATACCATCACCTAACTCAACAAGCAACTTATCATCTAAAGGGTGCGGTGGCGCGCTAGGAGCAGCACCTTCCGGTACACTTGCATGTGGGCTGCTGGATGCAGCTGCATCTTTTGGATCATCGGCCTCAGCAACTTCTTCAAGTCGTGCGACGTCTTGGCCTGCAAAACTAGGTGAATAACCAGAATCCTCATCCGGCAAAGGATCAGCTGGGAGAGCTGTGGAAACTGGGGTTAACCTTTCTGCTGGAACAAAGTTACGCGGACTAAGTTGTTCATCGTATTGGGGAACATATTCGACAACACGTGAGGCACA